TTGGATTGTCAAAAAGCCTTTGATACAGTGCCACACAAGTGGCTAGTGAGAAAGCTGGAGATGCAGGCTGGAAGGAAAGGGAAGGTACTCCGTTGGATAAAGAAGTACCTAAGCAACAGGAGACAACGAGTCTGTGTGAGGGGTGAGGTCTTAGATTGGCGAGACGTTACAAGTGGAGTCCCGCAGGCGTCAGTCCTTGGACCTATACTGTTTCTGGTATATGTAAATGATCTCCCAGAGGGTATAGATTCGTTCCTCTCAATGTTTGCCGACGATGCAAAAATTATGAGGTGGATTGAGACAGGATGATAGTAGGAGGCTACAAGATGACCTAGACAGACTGAGTGAAAGGTCCAAGAAATGGCTGTTGAAGTTCAATCCGAGTAAATGCAAAGTAATGAAACTAGGCAGTGGAAACAGGAGGCCAGACACAGGATACAGAATAGGAGATGATGTACTTAATGAAACGGACAGAGAGAAAGATCTAGGAGTTGATATCACACCAAACCCATCTCCTGAAGCCCTCATAAAAAGAATAACGTCTGCGGCATATGCGAGGCTGGCTAACATCAGAACAGCGTTCAGGAACCTGTGTAAGGAATCATTCAGAATCTTGTACACCACATATGTAAGACCAATCCTGGAGTATGCGGCCCCAGCATGGAGCCTGTACCTTGTCAAGCACAAGACGAAGCTGGAAAAAGTCCAAAGGTATGCCACTAGACTAGTCCCAGAACTAAGAGGCATGAGTTATGAGGAAAGGCTGCGGGAAATGCACCTTACAACACTGGAAGACAGAAGAGTAAGGGGAGACATGGTCACAACCTACAAAATCCTCAGGGAAATCGACCGGGGTAAACAAGGATAAACTATTCAACACTGGCGTGACGCGAACAAGGGGACACATGTGGAAACTGAGTAACCACATGAGCCACAGAGACGTTGGAAGGAACTTTTTCAGTGTCAGAGTAGTTAGCGGATGGACTACATTAGGCAGTGATGTGGTGGAGGCTGACTCCATACACAGTTTTAAATGTCGATATGATAGAGCCCAGTAGGCTCAGGAACCTGTACACCAGTTGATTGACAGTTGAAAGGCGGGACCAAAAAGCCAAAGTTCAACCCCCGCAAGCACAAATAGGTGAGTACATCTCAACATCCCCACATGCCAATATCTCCACATCCCAGCGTTCCCACATCCCAACATCTCCACATCCCAACATCCCAACATTCCCACATCCCCACATCCCAACATTCCAACATTCCCACATCCCAACATCCCCACATCCCAACATTCCCACATCCCAACATCTCCACATCCCAACATCTCCACATCTCCACATCCCATCATCCCCTCATCCCAACATCCCCACATCTCCACATCCCAACATCCCTACATCCCTACATCCCAATATCTCCACATCCCAACTTTTCCACATCCCAATTTCTCCACATTCCAAAATATCCACATCCCAACCTCTATACATCCCAGCATCCCAACAACTCCACATCCCAAAATATCCACATCCCAACATTCCCACATCCCAACATTCCCACATCCCAACATCCCCACATCTCAACCTCTCCACATCCCAATATCTCCACATCCCAAAATATCCACATCCCATCATCCCCACATCACAACATCTCCATATCCCAACATCTCCACATCCCAACATCCCCACATACCAACATCCCCACATCCCAACATCTCCACATCCCCACATCCCAACATCTCCACATCCCAATATCTCCACATCCCAACATGTTGGGATCTTGTGAAGAGTTTAGAGACTACATAACAGGCACCATGACGATTGGAGGACCAAGAGTAGTAGTAGCAGTGATTTACAACCCTCCACCAAATGACAGAAGATCAAGGCAAGAGTATGACAGAAACAACATGGCAGTTAATGACATAATTGAGAGGGCAGCCTCTGCTGCCTGTAGAAATCGATCCCATCTGTCCATCATGAGGGACTTCAATCACGGAAGGATAGACTGGGAGAACAAGGAACCGCACGTAGGAGAGGATACTTGAAGAGCCAAACTAGTGGAGGTGGCGACAAGAACCTTTCTAAGCCAACATGTCAGGGAACCCAATTGGATGAGGGAAAACGATGAACCAGCGGGACTCGACCTAGTCTTCACTCTGAATGACTCCCTTGCCCAGTGTACTGACGTTTGAGTATCTGGTTGAAGAAGGGCTAAAGTACTCGAGAAAGGGAACTAAAAGCAAAAGGCTAGCATTCCGTAACGGAAATTACGAGGAGTTAAGAAAATTCCTAACGGATATAACTTGGAAAACAGAGCTAAGGGGAAAGACGGCCCAAGACATGATGGACTACATCACACAGAAGTGCAAGGAGGCCGCAGAAAAGCTTATCCCGCCCAAAAGGTAAAAACTGAAATGAATATGAGAATTCCATAGTTTAATCTACGTTTAGTTTAATAGTTTAATAAACTTTAACCATAGATTAATCTCGCGTTCCGCGAGCGCTATGTCATGGGTTCGTATCCTGGCCGGGGAGGATTTACTGGGCGCAATTCCTTAACTGTAGCCTCTGTTTAACGCAACAGTAAAATGTGTACTTGGATGAAAAAACGATTCTTCGCGGCAGGGGATCGTATTCCAGGGACCATAGGATTAAGGACTTGCCCGAAACGCTACGCGTACTAGTGGCTGTACAAGAATGTAACAACTCTTGTATATATCTCAAAAAAAAAAAAAAAATCAGAGATGAAAGCTAGCTAAGCAACAAAATAAAAGAGCGTGGAGAAACTATAGAAATACCAGAACACTTGACAGCAGATAAGGTTACCAGAGAGCCAGGAATGAATACGTCAGGGTGAGAAGAGAGGCAGAAGGGCAATATCAAAACGACATAGCCAGCAAGGCTAAGACACCAACCAAAATTGCTGCACAGCCACATCAGGAGAAAGACAACAGTGAAGGAACAGGTAATGAAACTGAGGATAGGGACAGACAGATTCACTACAAATGACAAAGAAGTGTGCAAGGAACTCAATATGAAATTCCAGGAAGTCTTCACATTAGAGCAAGGAGAAGTTCCAGAGATAAGAGAAGGAATAATTAACCAGGCACCACTTCAGGAATTTGAGATTACCAGTGGAGATGTAAGGAAGCTTTAGCTAGAGTTGGATGTGACAAAGGCTATAGGGCCAGATGGAATATCACCCTGGATACTAGAGGAAAGAGGAGCAGAAGCACTGTGCCTGCCACTCTCCATAGTGTTTAACAAATCACTGGTAACAGGTGAACTGCCAGAAATTTGGAAGGTCGCAAACGTAGTCCCGATATACGAGAATGGGGATAGACATCAGGCATTGAACTACAGGCCAGTGTCCCTAACTTGCATACCATGCAAGCTAATGGAGAAAATTGTGCGAAAAAAGCTAGTCGAACATCTGGAGCGAAGGAACTTTGTGTCACAACACCAAAATGGTTTCAGGGATGGCAAGTCACGCCTCACAGGATTAATTGAATACCACAATCAGGCAACAAGAATCAGGCAAGAAAGAGAGGGGTGGGCAGACTGCATATTTTTGGATTGCTAGAAAGCGATTGACACAGTGCCACACCAGAGACTAGTGCAACAGCTTGAGATGCTGGCAAGAGTGAAAGGGAAGGTATTCCATTGGATAAGGGAGTACCTAAGTAACAGAAGGCAGCAAGTCACTGTGCGAGGTGAGGTATCAGATTGGCGAGACGTCACCAGTGGAGTCCCGCAGGGTTTAGTCCTTGGACCCATACTGTTTCTAATATATGTAAATGATCTTCCAGATGGTATAGAATCATTCCCCACATTGTTTGCTGATGATGCAACAATTATGAAGATGATTAAGACGGAGGAAGACAGTATGAGACTACAAGATGGCCTAGACAAAGTGCATGAATGGTTCAACAAATGGCTACTAAAGTTCAACCCGAGCAAATGTAAGGTAATGAAACTAGGCAGTGGAAACAGGAGGCCTGACACAGGATACAGAATGCGAGATGAAGTCCTTCATGAAACGGACAGAGAGAATGATTTAGGAGTTGATATTACACCAACCTTGTCTCCCACATCAAAAGAATAACATCTGCGGCGTATGCGAGGCTGGCTAACATCAGAACTGCATTCAGGAATCTGTGTAAGGAATCATTCAGAACCTTGATTACCACATATGTAAGACCAATCCTGGAGTATGCGGCCCCACCATGAACACGTACCTTGTCAAGCACAAGGCGAAGCTTGAAAAAGTTCAGATATATGCCACTAGGCTAGTCCCAGAACTAAGAGGCATGAGTTACGAAGAACGGCTGCGAGAAATGAACCTCACGACATTAAAAGACAGAAGAGTAAGGAGAGACATCTTCTCTACCTACAAAATTCTCAGAGGAATTCACAGGGTAGCTAAAGATAAACTGTTTAACACGGCTGGGACATGAACAAGGAAACACAGGTGGAGACTGAGTACCCAAATGAGCCACAGGGACGTTAGAAAGAACTTTTTCAGTGTCAGAGTAGTTAACAGGTGGAATGCATTAGGCAGTGATGTGGTGGAGGCTGACTCCATACACAGTTTCAAATGTTGATATGATAGAACCCAGTAGGCTCAGGAATCTGTACACCAGTTGATTGACAGTTGAGAGGCGGGACCAAAGAGCCAGAGCCCAACCCCCGCAAGCCCAATACGGTAAGTACACTTAGGTGAGTACTCACACACATTCCCAGGAAGCAGCCCATAGCAGCTGTCTAACTCCCAGGTACCTATTTACTGCTAGGTAAACAGGTACATAAGGTTGAAAGAAACTCTTCTCATTTGATTCCGACTCCGCCGAGAATCGAACACGGGCCCTTAGGACTACGACCCCAGAGCGCTGTCCATTCAGCCGCGACTTCCCGCATGTGTATGTGTGTGTGAGTGTATGTAAAGATATAGATACATTGGAAACCGGGATAAAACATAGGTAGATAACAATACAGGTGGCGAACCAGAACGACAAGGAGAGGATGAAACAAGGTCGTCAACGCTACTGCCAGAAAGGTCGTCAACGCTACTGCCAAAAAGGTCGTCAACGCTGCTGCCAAAAAGGTCGTCAACGCTGCTGCCAGAAAGGTCGTCAACGCTACTGCCAAAAAGGTCGTCAACGCTGCTGCCAAAAAGGTCGTCAACGCTGCTGCCAGAAAGGTCGTCAACGCTGCTGCCAAAAAGGTCGTCAACGCTGCTGCCAAAAAGGTCGTCAACGCTGCTGCCAGAAAGGTCGTCAACGCTGCTGCCAAAAAGGTCGTCAACGCTACTGCCAGAAAGGTCGTCAACGCTACTGCCAGAAAGGTCGTCAACGCTGCTACCAAAAAGGTCGTCAACGCTGCTGCCAGAAAGGTCGTCAACGCTACTGCCAGAAAGGTCGTCAGCGCTGCTGTCAGAAAGGTCGTCAACGCTGCTCTCAGAAAGGTCGTCAACGCTGCTGCCAGAAAGGTCGTCAACGCTACTGCCAGAAAGGTCGTCAACGCTACTGCCAGAAAGGTCGGCAACGCTACTGCCAGAAAGGTCGTCAACGCTGCTACCAGAAAATCCGTCAACGCTGCTGCCAGAAAGGTCGTCAACGCTGCTGCCAGAAAGGTCGTCAACGCTGCTGCCAGAAAGGTCGTCAACGCTGCTGCCAGAAAGGTCGTCAACGCTGCTGCCAGAAAGGTCGTCAACGCTGCTGCCAGAAAGGTCGTCAACGCTACTGCCAGAAAGGTCGTCAACGCTGCTGCCAGAAAGGTCGTCAACGCTGCTGCCAGAAAGGTCGTCAACGCTGCTGTCAGAAAGGTCGTCAACGCTACTGCCAGAAAGGTCGTCAACGCTGCTGCCAGAAAGGTCGTCAACGCTACTGCCAGAAAGGTCGTCAACGCTGCTGCCAGAAAGGTCGTCAACGCTGCTGCCAGAAAGGTCGTCAACGCTGCTGCCAGAAAGGTCGTCAACGCTACTGCCAGAAAGGTCGTTAACGCTACTGCCAGAAAGGTCGTCAACGCTACTGCCAGACAGGTCGTCAACGCTGCTGCCAGAAAGGTCGTCAACGCTGCTGCCAGAAAGGTCGTCAGCGCTGCTGCCAGAAAGGTCGTCAACGCTGCTGCCAGAAAGGTCGTCAACGCTGCTGCCAGAAAGGTCGTCAACGCTGCTGCCAGAAAGGTCGTCAACGCTACTGCCAAAAAGGTCGTCAATGCTGCTGCCAAAAAGGTCGTCAACGCTGCTGCCAGAAAGGTCGTCAACGCTGCTACCAGAAAGGTCGTCAACGCTGCTGCCAGAAAGGTCGTCAACGCTGCTGCCAGAAAGGTCGCCAATGCTGCTGCCAGAAAGGTCGTCAACGCTGCTGCCAGAAAGGTCGTCAACGCTGCTGCCAGAAAGGTCGTCAACGCTACTGCCAGAAAGGTCGTCAACGCTGCTGCCAAAAAGGTCGTCAACGCTGCTGCCTGAAAGGTCGTCAATGCTGCTGCCAGAAAGGTCGTCAACGCTACTGCCAGAAAGGTCGTCAACGCTACTGCCAGAAAGGTCGTCAACGCTATTGCCAGAAAGGTCGTCAACGCTGCTGCCAGAAAGGTCGTCAACGCTGCTGCCAGAAAGGTCGTCAACGCTGCTGCTCCCAGAAAGGTCGTCAACGCTGCTGCCAGAAAGGTCGTCAACGCTACTGCCAGAAAGGTCGTCAACGCTACTGCCAGAAAGGTCGTCAACGCTACTGCCAGAAAGGTCGTCAACGCTACTGCCAGAAAGGTCGTCAACGCTACTGCCAGAAAGGTCGTCAACGCTGCTGCCAGAAAGGTCGTCAACGCTGCTGCCAGAAAGGTCGTCAACGCTGCTGCCAGAAAGGTCGTCAACGCTGCTGCCAGAAAGGTCGTCAACGCTACTGCCAGAAAGGTCGTCAACGCTGCTGCCAGAAAGGTCGTCAACGCTGCTGCCAGAAAGGTCGTCAACGCTACTGCCAGAAAGGTCGTCAACGCTGCTGCCAGAAATGTCGTCAACGCTACTGCCAGAAAGGTCGTCAACGCTGCTGCCAGAAAGGTCGTCAACGCTGCTGCCAGAAAGGTCGTCAACGCTACTGCCAGAAAGGTCGTCAACGCTGCTGCCAGAAAGGTCGTCAACGCTGCTGCCAGAAAGGTCGTCAACGCTGCTGCCAGAAAGGTCGTCAACGCTGCTGCCAGAAAGGTCGTCAACGCTGCTGCCAGAAAGGTCGTCAACGCTGCTGCCAGAAAAAGTACTTCTCCACCTCCTTCACATTCCTTGCGCTCTTTAATTATACAAATATCTTTTCCATGTGTTTTATTTTCGGACACAAATTTTCTTATTTTCTTTCCAATCTTCAGGGGGTAAAAAGTAATAGGCTTTCTCAATACCTTACTTCTATTTTAGGAGAAATGTGGAAGACATATAAATTCCTTGCTGGAACGATGTTTAGAGAACCTGATTTTAGGATCAGCACACGAGTGCCCTCGCAATTGAGTCTTCCAACTCCTTTACAGTTAGCATTATTGTGAACATTTTCAGTTCCTAATTTAGAAAATATGAGATGTACGAGATAAAAAGAGCCGTTTCATAATTATACAGACTTCAGAAAGGTTTGTGGGAGGTCGTAAGAGTTCCTGAATATGACGAGAAAATCTCAAATTGTTTATAGGATTATATAAGTGAAAGTGGTGTAGCAAATGGGAAAATTGAATAGCTCATCTGTGTTAAATAGAATGTAATGGCTAAACCTTTCAATCAATTTGCATATTATAAGGCAATGCTCTAGGGATCACTCTGTTCTTTATAGTGATGGTCTGACCTCTCTTGTTGGAACAACATGATGCCTGTCCACAGAGAGGAGTGCAGCGTGTCGTCTGATAGCTCGTAAGGGTCTGATAACAGCACGTTATTAGGCTTCACGTTACAGACATTTTTGGGGCAGATATATTTGTTGTCGTTGGTCACAGCCACGTCAGAACTATTCCGTCTGAGGTAAACATAATATGATGACAAGTCCATTGAATGCAGTGATTTTAGCCTGTATTATAAAGTTTACCATCAATCATTTTTCATTTGTTTTTTTGTTTTTCAACAAATTTTCAGATAGCAAAATTTGGGATCACAATTTTTTTTTATACGAGATGAAAATCCTAAAATATATGTTAGCCGTGACCTGAGCAGAGTCAGGCTCAGCGACGTTTTCTGGCCACCTCCCCCCTCCCCCCCAATCCTCTCCCAAACACCCCGCTCTCCTGTCCCATCCCCAACCCTTCCCCTTCCTCATCCCAACCTCAACCATCACCTTCCCACCTTCCTCCCCTCCTCCTGTAACTTTTCCAGTTATCTGAGTCAGGACTTCATCAATATTTTACCGCCCACCCGCTGAGCACTCCCCGGGTGTGACCTCAAAAGACCCTTTATAGAGAGAGAAAAATATAAAGATTATCAGTTTGGAGATCAAAGAGATTCACAATATTTATGAAGGGGTAAGCATAAATGAACACATACTCCATGGTATAATTAAACACAATTAGGCCATTTCAAAATTTACCAAAAATTTCCATCCTAGTTTCATATTACACAATATAACCACACGACGTCCTCAGACCGCTAGGCTATTTTCCTTAAATTTCCTGAGAATGTTCCTTGACTGAGGAGCTGACCTGGGTAGACTTCCGTCTCCTGCGGCTGTAATCTCTACCGGGAGGAGCGCCCGAGATATGTGCTTGGATCAAGCTCTGAAGAACACTAAATATTGAGTCTTCAGAATAATAACTCCGTCCACCCGACTTCTCGTTCTTTTTATGCTCGTCTTATCTTCTACTTTTTTCCTCTTATTTTAATTTTCTATCTGTTTTTTCCATTATCTTACTAATCTTTCGTTTCTAATATATTCGTGTCTTTCATTCCCATCATTTCTATCTCACATGATTTGATTTTTCAATCTAGTTTTTATTTGTAGTATTTCCTCTCATTTCTTCATTTTTTTTTTGTCCTTTACTTTTAAAAACCCTAACCAGTCATTTATATCTTTTCTTTCCCCATCAACTCTTCTCATCCTTTCTTCCCATTAATTTACATTCTTTTCTCTTCCTCTTATGATTTTTGCTCTTTTTTAACCTTGCAAAGAGCAAGTTCATTGCTCTTGCTAATATTGCAAGTTCCCTTTGACAGGAACATTAGAAGAGGAAGCAGAACAGTTACTTGGACCACCAGTACAGGGTGTTGATGCCAGCCTCAACCACGAGGATTACTTGGTGTGATCATCTTGTTCATAACTGGTGGACCAGGCCAACCTACAATAAGATAAGGCCTCCCAATTTTAATTACTAATATATGTAGTTTAATACTATAGTGAAAGTCTGCTAATCAAGTTTGATTGACTACATATATATAAACAGCCCATAATGTGAAAGGAGATCGGTTTGTGAGATATTGTTGAAATACAGTTCACTCCATCATACCCTTTGCTATCGAAATATATAAATTAACGTAAATATAAATTCTAAATATATTCATATAAATTAAATAAATAGAAATCTCACATGTCGGTTCCCCAAATACAACTTTCAGGTCTTTGAGAATTTTCTAGGTCAGTAAGATTTTCTTTAGATATTTGTTTAAGTATTCTCTGTCACTGCTAATGTAACACCCATATCAATGTCTACTACTGTCCTACTAAAGGTGGTCCATGCAAGCATACCAACAGTGTCATGCTTTGAGATGCCAACTTGTGATGGTTACAAAAGGAATTTAATTTCAAATGTGTTTTCTTTAGCAGCAAAAACATTCATTCGAATATTATTGACTATTTTCTGGGTGTTACTACTATGTAAGTTCAGTGGCAGGAGTGCACTCTGCGAGTTAAGGTATATTGGTCCACTGCCTTTGTCTTTTACAAATTCAATGGCATGGTATATGGCCTTGCGTTGATTAACTAGAATCAAGGAAACCAAACCACTCACCACATGCTGGCCACTCACTACATGCTGGCCACTCACTGCATGCTGGCCACTCACTACATGCTGGCCACTCATTGCTTGCTGGCCACTCACTGCATGCTGGCCACTCACTACATGCTGGCCACTCACTGCATGCTGGCCACTCACTACATGCTGGCCACTCACTACATGCCGGCCACTCACTGCATGCTGGCCACTCACTACATGCTGGCCACTCACTGCATGCTGGCCACTCACTACATGCTGGCCACTCACTACATGCTGGCCACTCACTACATGCCTGCCACTCACTACATGCTGGCCACTCACTACATGCTGACCTCTCACTACATGCTGGCCACTCACTACATGCTGGCCTCTCACTACATGCTGGCCACTCACTACATGCTGGCCACTCACTGCTTGCTGGCCACTCACTACATGCTGGCCACTCACTACATGCTGGCCACTCACTGCTTGCTGGCCACTCACTACATGCTGGCCACTCACTACATGCTGGCCACTCACTACATGCTGGCCACTCACTACATGCTGGCCACTTACTACATGCTGGCCACTCACCGCTTGCTGGCCACTCACTACATGCTGGCCACTCACTGCTTGCTGGCCACTCACTACATGCTGGCCACTCACTACATGCTGGCCACTCACTACATGCTGGCCACTCACTACATGCTGGCCTCTCACTACATGCTGGCCACTCACTACATGCTGGCCACTCACTGCTTGCTGGCCACTCACTACATGCTGGCCACTCACTACATGCTGGCCACTCACTGCTTGCTGGCCACTCACTACATGCTGGCCACTCACTACATGCTAGCCACTCACTACATGCTGGCCACTCACTACATGCTGGCCACTTACTACATGCTGGCCACTCACTGCTTGCTGGCCACTCACTACATGCTGGCCACTCACTGCTTGCTGGCCACTCACTACATGCTGGCCACTCACTACATGCTGGCCACTCACTACATGCTGGCCACTCACTACATGCTGGCCACTTACTACATGCTGGCCAGTCACTACATGCTGGCCACTCACTACATGCTGGCCACTCACTGCATGCTGGCCACTCACTGTATGCTGGCCACTCACTGCATGCTGGCCACTCACTGCATGCTGGCCACTCACTGCATGCTGGCCACTCATTGCATGCTGGCCACTCACTACATGCTGGCCACTCACTACATGCTGGCCACTCACTACATGCTGGCCACTCACTACATGCTGGTCACTCACTACATGCTGGCCACTCACTACATGCTGGCCACTCACTACATGCTGGCCACTCACTGCATGCTGGCCACTCACTGTATGCTGGCCACTCACTGCATGCTGGCCACTCACTGAAAGCTGGCCACTCACTGCTTGCTGGCCACTCACTACACGCTGGCCACTCACTACATGCTGGCCACTCACTACATGCTGGCCACTCACTACATGCTGGCCACTCACTGTATGCTGGCCACTCACTGCATGCTGGCCACTCACTGTATGCTGGCCACTCACTACATGCTGGCCACTCACTGTATGCTGGCCACTCACTGCATGCTGGCCACTCACTACATGCTGGCCACTCACTACATGCTGGCCACTCAATACATGCTGGCCACTCACTACATGCTGGCCACTCACTACATGCTGGCCACTCACTGCATGCTCAACTCAAACCGAACTTGCAGGCATATACCTTGCCACTGAATTTTTAAAAGACAAAGGCAGTGGACTTATATACTGTGACTCGCAGAGTGCACTCCTGGCATTGAACGCACATAGTAGTGACACCCAGAAAATAGTAAGTGATATTCGAATGAATGTTTTAGCTGCCAAAGAAAACAGATTTGAGATTAAATTCCTATGGATACCATCACATGTTGGCATCTCAAGGCATGACACTGTTGATATGCTTGCTAAGTCAGCTTGCAGAAAACCAGTGGTAGAAATTGATATGGGTGTTTCATTAGCAGTGACAAAGAGAATACTTAAACAAATATCTAATGAAAATCTCACCGACCTAACAAATTCTCAAAGACCTGAAAGTTGTAGCATTAAATATTATGATAGATATCGTGAGGAGACATTCACATATGGGACTAATAGAACAAGAACCCGGCAATGTGATGTTATAGTGGCCAGAATACGCCTGGGATATAGACGTATCTGGCAGCTTTCTCAAAACCCAAATGTCGAGTACACAATGTGTCAACTTTGTGAAAGAGAAAACATGCACTCTCTTGAACATTATATTGTAGAATGTCCCATACTGACTGACTTTCGCCCTCCTGGGCTAAGGTATGCTGAACTCTGTAGTTACTATATGAGTACTGGAACACTTGATGATATATTGGACTTGTATCCAAAATTGACCATGTAATGTATCAATCATACAATGTATGTATGTGATGTAACTATATAACCTGAGCTTGTAAAAGCACCTTCATCACCTTCAGTGATTAAGTGCTTAATTGCACACTAGTTTCTTTATCAGCTACCTCACCCTGTCAGGGTAAATGAGACAAATGTATGTGAATGCATGTATGTGTGTATATATGTATGTGTATGTGTGTGTGTGTATGTATATGTATGGGTATAAAGCAAATATGGAAGCTGATCAGAATTACATTTCACCTTTGTGAATGTACATTAATGACACTATGTAAAAGACACATCTAATACTTTATGTAGGGCGTACGTAAATCTGTGTATCTTTGTATTTACGTATGTAGGTTAGCTTAGCATTTTAAAAGCACCGAATCACCTTCTGTGGTTGAGTGTTCAATAAACCCTTGAACTGTATGTTTAACACTTCTCTAACCCTGTCCATGGAGGACAGAAGAAAATGTATATATGCTGGTTAGCATTGTAAATGTGTGGCCACGTCTGTGGTAGAAAATAATAATAAAAAAAAAAAAAAAAAAAAAAAAAAAAAAAAAAAAAAAAAACTGCATGCTGGCCACTCACTACATGCTGGCCACTCACTGTATGCTGGCCACTCACTGTATGCTGGCCACTCACTACATGCTGGCCAGTCACTACATGCTGGCCACTCACTGTATGCTGGCCACTCACTGCATGCTGGCCACTCACTACATGCTGGCCACTCATGCATGCTGGTCACTCACTACATGCTGACCACTCACTACATGCTGACCACTCTCTACATGCTGGCCACTCACTACATGCTGGCCACTCACTGCATGCTGGCCACTCACTGCATGCTGGCCACTCACTACATGACGCCACTCAATACATGCTGGCCACTCACTACATGCTGGCCACTCACTACATGCTGGCCACTCACTGCATGCTGGCCACTCACTACATGCTGGCCACTCACTGTATGCTGGCCACTCACTGCATGCTGGCCACTCACTACATGCTGGCCACTCACTACATGCTGAACACTCACTGCATGCTGGCCACTCACTACATGTTGGCCACTCACTGCATGCTGGCCACTCACTGCATGCTGGCCACTCACTGCATGCTGGCCACTCACTACATGCTGGCCACTCACTACATGCTGGCCACTCACTGCATGCTGGCTACTCACTACATGCTGGCCATTCACTACATGCTGGCCACTCACTACATGCTGGCCACTCACTACATGCTGGCCACTCACTGCATGCTGGCCACTCACTGCATGCTGGCCACTCACTACATGCTGGCCACTCACTACATGCTGGCCACTCACTACATGCTGGCCACTCACTACATTCTGGCCACTCACTGCATGCTGGCCACTCACTGCATGCTGGCCACTCGCTGCATGCTGGCCACTCACTACATGCTGGCCACTCACTGCTTGCTGGCCACTCACTGCATGCTGGCCACTCTCTGCATGCTGGCCACTCACTACATGCTGGCCACTCACTACATGCTGGACACTCACTACATGCTGGCCACTCAATACATGCTGGCCACACACTACATGCTGGCCACTCACTACATGCTGGCTACTCACTACATGCTGGCCACTCACTGCATGCTGGCCACTCACTACATGCTGGCCACTCACTACATGCTGGCCACTCACTGTATGCTGGCCACTCACTGCTTGCTGGCCACTCACTACATGCTGGCCACTCACTGCATGCTGGCCACTCACTGCATGCTGGCCACTCACTGCATGCTGGCCACTCACTGCATGCTGGCCACTCACTACATGCTGGCCACTCACTACATGCTGACCACTCACTACATGCTGGTCACTAACTGCATGCTGGCCACTCACTGCATGCTGGCCACTCACTGCATGCTGGCCACTCACTACATGCTGGCCACTCACTGCATGCTGGCCACTCACTGCATGCTGGCCACTCACTGTATGCTGGCAACTCACTACATGCTGGCCACTCACTGTATGCTGGCCACTCACTGCTTGCTGGCCACTCACTACATGCTGGCAACTCACTACATGCTGGCCACTCACTGCATGCTGGCCACTCACTGCATGCTGGCCACTCACTGCATGCTGGCCACTCACTACATGCTGGCCACTCACTGCATGCTGGCCACTCACTGTATGCTGGCCACTCACTACATGCTGGCCACTCACTGTATGCTGGCCACTCACTGTATGCTGGCCACTCACTGTATGCTGGTCACTAACTACATGCTGGCCACACACTGCATGCTGGCCACTCACTACAAGCTGGCCACTCACTGTATGCTGGCCACTCACTACATGCTGGCCACTCACTGCATGCTGGCCACTCACTACATGCTGGCCACTCACTACATGCAGGCTACTCACTGCATGCTGGCCACTCACTACATGCTGGCCACTCACTGCATGCTGGCCACTCACTACATGCTGGCCACTCACTGCTTGCTGGCCACTCACTACATGCTGGCCACTCACTGCATGCTGGCCACTCACTACATGCTGGCCACTCACTGCTTGCTGGCCACTCACTACATGCTGACCACTCACTGTATGCTGGCCACTCACTACATGCTGGCCACTCACTGCTTGCAGCCACTCACTGCTTGCAGCCACTCACTGCTTGCAGCCACTCACTGCATGCTGGCCACTCACTGCTTGCAGCCACTCACTGCTTTCAGCCACTCACTGCTTGCTGGCCACTCACTACATGCTGACCACTCACTGTATGATGGCCACTCACTGTATGCTGGCCACTCACTGCTTGCTGGCCACTCACTACATGCTGGCCACTCACTACATGCTGGCCACTCACTACATGCTGGCCACTCACTGCTTGCAGACAATCACTACATGCTGGCCACTCACTGCATGCTGGCCACTCACTACATGCTGGCCACTCACTGCATGCTGGCCACTCACTGTATGCTGGCCACTCACTACATGCTGGCCACTCACTGCATGCTGGCCACTCACGGCATGCTGGCCACTCACTGTATGCTGGCCACTCACTGCTTGCAGCCACTCACTACATGCTGGCCACTCACTGCATTCTGGCCACTCACTGCATGCTGGCCACTCACGGCATGCTGGCCACTCACTGCATGCTGGCCACTCACTGTATGCTGGCCACTCACTGAAAGCTGGCCACTCACTGTATGCTGGCCACTCACTACATGCTGGCCACTCACTACATGCTGGCCACTCACTGCATGCTGGCCACTCACTGCACGCTGGCCACTCACAGCATGCTGGCCACTCACGGCATGCTGGCCACTCACGGCATGCTGGCCACTCACATCATGCTGGCCACTCACTGTATGCTGGCCACTCACTGTGTGCTGGCCACTCACTACATGCTGGCCACTCACTACATGCTGGCCACTCACTACATGCTGGCCACTCACTGTATGCTGGCCACTCACTGCATGCTGGCCACTCACTGCATGCTGGCCACTCACTGCTTGCTTACCACTCACTGTATGCTGGCCACTCACTACATGCTGGCCACTCACTGTATGCTGGCCACTCACTGTATGCTGGCCACTTACTGCATGCTGGCCACTCACTGCATGCTGGCCACTCACTGTATGCTGGTTACTCACTGCATGCTGGCCACTCACTGTATGCTGGCCACTCACTGTATGCTGGCCACTCACTACATGCTGGCCACTCACTACATGCTGGCCACTCACTACATGCTGGCCACTCACTACATGCTGGCCACTCACTGCATGCTGGCCACTCACTGTATGCTGGCAACTCACTACATGCTGGCCTCTCACTGTATGCTGGCCACTCACTGCATGCTGGCCACTCACTGCATGCTGGCCACTCACTGCATGCTGGCCACTCACTACATGCTGGCCACTCACTGCATGCTCGCCACTCACTGTATGCTGGCCACTCACTGCATTCTGGCCACTCACTACATGCTGGCCACTCACTGCATGCTGGCCACTCACTGTATGCTGGCCACTCACTGTATGCTGGCCACTCACTGTATGCTGGCCACTCACTGCATGCTGGCCACTCACTGCATGCTGGCCACTCACTACATGCTGGCCACTCACTGTATGCTGGCCACTGTTATGATCTCAGCCTACAGGAGAAACGAGTCTCCCTCCTTGAGAGTTATTCATCAAGCCTGAACTGATTAGAAGGTCTAGCAAATATTGAGGTGATAACGCATATGTAAAATAGTTGCTTGGATATGTATAACAGTTTGAGATTATGGGCAATGAAGGAGAAAACAGATAAATGACTGGCTAGGAGATGTGGACATTTTGCTGGAGGCGTGAGGCTCGCTTCCGGAGGACCTTGACCTCACTTGAGTGCCAGACATCGCAGGGGAAAGCCGCGCTCCGTGAGCTCCTGCCAGAAGGGAACCCCTAGTGATATATCTCGAAGAGAAGAGAAGTGTGTAGACGTGCCAGCTGTGGAACCGAGCTGGGAACGTTGTGGTCTCAAGTCCTGGTCGACGAGCAGAGTTCAATAAGCTGCTCAGAGGCATTTTCGTGGGCTGTGTGGAGCGCCCTGACCAGACGCCGTCAGAGGGAAAGCGCCCTCGACCAGTTAATCTGTGGTAAGCATGATATACGCCAGTTCATAGTGATTGCTTGTAGTTGGTCGTGTGCCCAGCGACAGTAGCGATGTTTATTTATAAGTTAGACATGTTTTAATAAGGCAGAAAGCCTGAAATAGGAGAATGAAGAGGGAGGAACACGGAGCGACGTCCATCCCCTCTGAGCTCTGACAGACGACTGAGGGAGCCCGGCTCCTGACGGAGGAAGACCCTCCCAGCGAGTGAGGACCGCCGCCGGGCGAGGTGGAGTATGGACCCGCCCAAAACGGGGGAGTCCACTCTCACTGTATGTAGAGAACAGATAGAGGTTTGAGGCAAGCATATTGTGTGGTTATTTTTGTTTATGTGTTAAAGGGGAACATTTTATTGGAGTGCCGATGGGTTGCAGGTTTGTTCTTTGGGGAAGAAGTTGCTGAGAACTTCGAAGCCAGCCTAGATGAGGTAATTGATGAGACTCCAAGGTAGTGAAGCAGAGGACCTCGAGCTGGGAGGAGAAGCAGTGAAGACGAGTGTCACATGCTTCTGTAGAGGTGGTGAAGCACCATAGTTGCTTGAGGAAACTTCATGGTGTAGCAGCCAAGAGAGCTGTGGAGGAACCTAGCAGAAGGGTGAAGCACCGTAGTTGCTCAAAGAAACTTCATGATAGCAGCCTGGAGGAGCTGCAGAGGATCCTGGTAGTGAAGCCCGGAAGAACCTGAAGATATCAGGGTAGTGAACTTCCAGAAGTGGAAGGGAAGTTCTGGTGGATTACTAGTAGGGAGTTGATAGTGTTTGACTGTCATTAACATGCAAGACGCAGTGAGAGGTGAGTGATTGTTGGTATTCTGATGTCAAGGAGTGTTTTATACTGAAGTTTAGAGTTACAGTCGTAGGCTGGATTACCTACAGATGTATGCGTTCTAGGGCTGATAGAGTGATCGATTGATCATTGTTGTGTATCAAGGAACATTTATACTGATACGTGTTATTGCATTCATATGCTGATTTTCTTTGTACACATTTATAGATTCATATATATATTTTCTTGCTGATGGTGCAACAGTGTATGTAGACTTGATCAACTTGAGGTGGTTGATAGTATCAGGTGGTGAACCAGGAGATAGGATACCACTTGATAAGCTGATGATAGAGTTCTGATGGTGTTGGAGAGCAACCTGATTGTAATAGTATAGAGTATAGGATTCACTATTATTATATGTGTGTATGTATCGTGTATGTGCTTTGTCCAGTAAATGTATTCCAATTTGCTGGTGTTTGCCCTTGTCCTAGTGAGGCTTCCCCGGAGGTAGTAAAGAAGGAGAGAGAGAGAGAAAGAACCAAGAACCACTGCTGTGGACAGGGTAGAAGGTAATACTAATAAGTCAAAAGGGGATTGAGGAGATCATATCACCTAAGGAGAGAGTGGGGAGTCACAGCGGCTCGAGTGGGTGTGTGCACGTGACAACGAGGCTAAGTGTTGGAGCCGCATCCCCTAAACGTGTGACGTTGAGCCCCTCTCCAAGAGCCAGAAGCGCCAAGGGTGATCTCCTAGGGAGGTATAAGCACTCTACCGAGTTGTGGGTTGGGTTGTCCGTAGAGAAGGATCGACAGCGACAACACCCGCCAACCCACAGTACTATAATAAATTGGGGGCCTGTGTCCGGGAGAGTGAACTGACACACCCACACCCTGTCCAAGAGTGGATTTGTACACCCTTGCTGAAATAGATAAACTGTGTGAACGCAGGTGTATATTCTCTCTCTTGGGAAGACTCACAGGACAAAGATGGATAAGGTGCAAGCGTTTGTGGAGTCAGGCAAGCCTGAGGACTTGGAAGGTTGCACGAGGGATCAATTGAAACAAATAGCAGAAAAATGTGGCATCAGGTTGAAAGCATCTAAAGTAGCTGGGATGAAGGATGAGATCCTGAGGCAGTTAAGAGCCAAAAATGAAGCAGCAGAACAAGGAGCCCAGAAAGGAGCTGAAAGTGGAAAGGAGGATGATGGGCAGGATGAAGTGAGATCCCAAGGATCGAGTAGGAACAGCAAGAGTAGCCGCAGTAGCAGGAGTAGCCGAAATAGGAGCTTGGAAAGGTTCCAGTTAGAGCTCCAGATGCAGCGTGAGGAGAGACAGTTCCAGCTGGAAAAGATGAAATTAGAACTCCAGATGAAAAATGAAGCAGAGAAGGAAAAAGAAAAAACCAGACTGGAAGTAGAAAAAGAGAAAACCAGAGTAAGAGAACTGGAGTTGGAACAGGAGAAAGAAAAAGAGAAAGCAAGACTAGAGGTCGAAAAAGAAAAAGCCCAGGTCGAAAAAGAAAAAGAGAGAACAAAACAAATGCAGATAGAAGCGAATAAAACCTTGGCTGAGCAAAGGATTGAACATGGGTTGCCAGAGAGCACCACCCAGGTATCACACCCACCAGATGTTAGGGTTAGGGAGAAGGACATTTCCTTGTTTGTTCCCGAAGAGGCGGAGAGCTTCTTCGAGCATTTTGAAAAAGTAGCCAGCATCAAGGAGTGGCCACAGGAGGAATGGGCCCAGCTGGTCCAGTTAAGATTGACCGGTGCAGCCAGGGAGGCATACACCCAATTGTCACTGGAAGAGTGCCAGGATTATGCCACGGTAAAGAGCAGCATATTGCGCTCGTTTCAGTTAACCCCAGAAGCTTATAGGAAGCGCTTCAGAGAAATGATCAAAGTTGGAGCATGTACGTTTGCTGAGACAGCAAGGGATCTGGAAAGACGATTCCAGAAGTGGATTGAGGCTGCTGGAGTTGGATCTTACGCTGACCTGAAGCAACTGATGGTCATGGAGAAGTTCATAGAGATGATGCATCCCGAAACAAAGTTCAAGATCCAAAAAGCAGGGATAAAGGAGGTGAAAGATGCCGCAGATAGGGCGGATATGATTACTGAAGCGTACAAGAGCTTAAGGGAGAACAGAGTAAGAAGCGAGGCGAGACGCAGCAATAGCAGACCCAGTGGAGTCTGGGGAGGAAGAAGTTTTGGAGGGCAGACAAGCAGACCAGCTAGTTTTAAGCCCCAGGAAGGAAAGTTGCCGAGTCCGCCTGCTGGAGGTAAGCAGGAAAATAAAAATGTGCAGAGGAGACAAGAGTCCAATGAAGCTCCACAGAGTATGAGTAGTACATCTGGCCCGAGGAACTCCAATACGAGTGGGCAGAGTCAGAGCCACTCGGGGGCGTATAGGAGAGATTTCTCCCAAATGAGATGCTACAAGTGCAACAGATCAGGTCACATGATGCGAGATTGTCGGCAGGGCAAGAGAGTCGTGACCCTGACGACATGTGATCCCCGGAAGAAGTATGTTGATGTACAACAAGACAAACCACAGAAGGTAGATTTGATGAACGAGCGGTATAGGCCGTTCATTAGTAAAGGTTGGGTCGGCATAGAAGGTCAACCCGAGGTGGAGGTTAGTATCCTCAGGGATACTGGAGCCAATCAGAGCTTGATTCTGAGAGGCCTAATAAGAAATGATCGACTGTTAGCTGGCAGCAGGAGGATAAAGGTTCATGGGTTGTTGTCTAAGAGTGACATGCCCGTGTGTGCTGTCCAGTTGAAGTCAGATTATTTGTCGGCGGAGGTGATGTTGGGAGTGTGCCCCAACATACCTGTTCCAGGAGTCCAAGTGATCCTGGGGAACGACTTGTGTGGGTCCAAGGTGCTGCCAGAGCTGATAGT